ATCATAAAAACATAACATATTTTCATTAAACATTCAGAAAATAATTATTAATAATATAATATCTACTCTTTGTTCATGCTCTCAACATTGGATTCTTTAAAAATTGATGCTCTTACACTCTATCTCTCGCTCCTGATCCCGCTCTCGCTCCATGCTCAGGTTACCTTTACACAAAGCATTTCCCAAAGCGCACTACTATCCCTAGGCTCGATCTATGGCGATTTGCCTACGTTAGTGATGGTTGCCACACATTTGAGATCAACAATAGCCGAAATCTCTCGACTTGAGCATAAGAAACAGTCTCTTTTCTATCAAGTCCCTTGAAGAGGAGAGGTATAAGGGAGGATGGAGAGTTGTAGGTGAAGGTTTGGAAACCATATCGTTGTCTCCCTTACACATCCTCAAAGCGCAAACCGATTTTAGATAAACCCTTCAACGTATTCACTTAGCATTATGCATGGTTGCCACAACATGTGATACACTCTTTTTCATTCAAATCACATTAAAAATTTGAGCACCTTTTGCAAAATCTGTTTTGAGTTCGAAAATGGTAGAGTCCAACACATATGTCTTAATCATCACTAGTCAATAGTATCAACCAACAAAAGAGTAAGTGGATGGTAGATTTCTCATGTACCAACATCCTTCATAGCGCTACACTATCCTCCCTAAAATGCACAACATCATAACATCCAACAATTCAAATCATAATGAGTAGGAACAATGCATGGGACAGGCGTTTGGAACCCTCAAATTAAAAAATTTTGGGCATATAATCTAGGTTCCAAAACACTATTAATATAGGCCAAAAGACAATAATTCATCCACAAGTGCTTGGGGCCTCATATTTTGGGCAATAATCAAGGCTCCAAATCATTCATAAGATAGACCAAATTTATTCATCCATATTCACACGCCATCAACATACACATTCAACACCTCCACGCTTAAGCACACCAATATCGTCAATCGAGGAAATATAAGGGTGGAACGAAGTTATTAAACATGGAAAGTGAAGAGTCGGACTGGAGTTGGGACCACTGACCAGTATCAAGAGAGGAGCTAACACAAGAAGCAAACAACACATCCCCAAAGTTCTTCAAGTCTAAAATCAAAATAAAAGAAAAAAAATTTTGGTTTCCTCCCAATTATGGCTGGTAATCGGTCAGTTGCCGATTAAATTGTTGTTAGGATTAAAATTGAAAGTATGAAAATAGAGAAGACTCGACGAAAAACAAGAATAAGAAGGAAAAAGAACTTGTATTTGATGACTATTGTCCTTGTGTGACCAAGGAGATGACAGTGGGGAGATGGAAGGCGACGTTTAAACCTCACGACCACCGCCATTAGTGGTGACTCGGTCTTGCATGCAATATCCTGCAATTGCGTGTAATTCAATTGTCTTGATCCGAGACCGAGAGAAATCAAATTGACGAGAGAAATCAAACCTCGAGTCAATCGCTTAAATCTTCAAACGACGAAGGTCCGATCTTTGCATGCAATAGCCTCGATCCAGGAGAGGAAGGGAGAAGAAGTAGAAGTTGTCGATGTTATAAGACACATGGGATGTGGCAGGGAGATGTGACAATGATGTGGCGGTGAGAAGATGACGAATAACCCCCAATTTTCTATTTGCTGAAGACAAAGATGATGATGGCCGGTCGATGGGAACTGAGGGTGAAACTAAGAGGGAGCTGTAAGATTCAGGGTTTGAAGGAAAGGGAAATGGACATGGGTAAGATTGGATTCAGTCGAGACTCAAGAGGAGTTTCAGAGGGGGATTTTGAAGGAAAGGGGAAAGGGGGTAAGCAGATGGAATAAAGGAGGAATGTGGGATATGTATCGGTTATTCGGTATACCATTTGGTCTGTAATGCCTACCGACAATTGGTATTGCCGATTACCGGTATGGTAACCGGTTATACCGTTAACCGACAAACCGAATATCACCCCTAATCGCAATACGCACTTCTTTTACGTCTTTAGCTAAACACCTTGGATAGATTATGGCTCCTCGAGGATCACTGCCTCTTCCTACGGATCCACATCCCCACCGAGGTAAAGCTTAAGCTAGTGACCGTTGACCTTGAAGGTCCCTTTCTCCGGATTAGAGATTTACACCGCCCCATAGGAGAAGACTTGGGTGATCGTGTACGGACCGGACCACCGAGAATGAAGCTTCCCACGGAATAAGCGTAAGCGAGAGTTATAAAGGAGAACTAGGTCTCCTATCTTGAATTCCTTGGACTCCTTCAATCTTGCATCGTGGCAGCATTTTGTCTTCTTCTTGTAAAGTCGTGTGTTTTCATAGGCATGGTGGCGCCATTCATAAACCTCTAACACCTGCAAATTTCTTTCATCTCCACGCACATTGACATCAAGATTAAGCAGTTTAATGGCCCACAAGGCTTTGTGCTTTAGCTCTACCGGCAAATGGGCTTCTTTCCATAGACAATCCTATATGGTGAGGTACCAATAGGCTTTTTGTAGGCCGTGCAATAAGCCCATAGAGAATCATCGAGTTTGGTGGACCAATCTTTACGGGATCAATCCACCATCTTTTCCAATATTCTCTTTAGTTTTCGGCTTGTCAACTCGATTTAGCCACTCATTTGAAGATGGTATGCCATGGAAATCTTGTGAGTCACACCATAGCGAGATAGGAGTTTCTCAAATTGCCCCTGAAAATAAGTGCCTCTATCACTAATGATGGCTTGTGGAGTCCCTAACCGAGAGAAAAGTTGCTTAAGGAAAATACACACACGTCTAGCATACATTGGTGAGCAATGATTGTGCTTTTGCCCACCTCAATATGTAATAAACAACTACTAGTATGTACTTGTTTCCAAATGAAGTAGGAAAGGGGCCTATGATGTTAATGCCCCAAACATCAAAGATCTCACACACTACAAATCTAGTTTGGGGAATCTCATCTTGAGCAGAAATATTACCTGAGCATTGGCAACGATCACACCTTTAGACGAAGTCCTCAACATCCTTGAATAGAGTAGGCCAATAGATTCTAGACTAAATCACTTTCAGAGTAGTGCGATTCCCTCCATGATGTCTTTCGGTCGGACCCTCGTGATAATGCGAAAGTATACCATGCATCTTCGCTTTCATCACACAACGCCGAAAGATACCATGCAACTCTGATTCCCTCCATGATTTCATCCCAAAAGTAGTAGTGAAGGTCAGAGAAGAACTTTCTTTCTTCTGTGTGTTCATCCCCTTAAGTAATTGTCGACCCACCAAGTAGTTTGCGAAGTCAGAGAATCACGAGGTGACACTCTCCATCAAGCTCATCATGAGATGTCCCATGTCCAGACTAGAGTCATTGATTTCCCCACCAAGGTTGGGTCCCTCAAGCCTTGACAAGTGGTCGCCTACTAGAATCTCCGCTCCCTTCGTGTCCTTGATCTTAATGTCAGATTCTAAGAAGAACATAAACCAACGAATGAGTCTAGGCTTGGCATCAGACTTGTTCATCAAGGTTTGAATCGATGAATGATGGTGTGGACAATTACTCAAGACAAGACTAGATAAGATCTAAACTTGTCAAAATCATACACAACCAACAACAGATCCTTCTATGTGGTGGTGTAGTTCTCTTAGGAATCATTCAAGCTCTTGGAGGCATAGTATATATGCTTAAAATGCTTCACTTGCCTATACCCACGTACGACACCAACTGCAAAGTCACTTGCATCGGACATAAGCTCAAAATGAAGGTTTCAATTCGGAGTCACCATCATGGGGGCTTGAGTGAGATTTTTCTTTAACAACTCAAACGCCACTAGAAACTCGACTATGAAAATGAATGGAGCATACTTCTCAAGTAGCTTAGTCAATGGGAGTGTATTATATGTTGCGAATGCGGCTGTAATCAAAAGTCTTCTTAGTCTTTAACTTCCATTCTTCCTCTGCAACTCACTCTAGTATTGCATAACCCCTTCAACTAGCTGAGCTACTTCGTTCCTTTCACAAAGTTCGAAAGAATCTTGTGTCTAAGAACAATGCCTTCTCATGCCATTATGTGGCATTTTCCCAACTAAGAGCGAAGTTTTGTCTCCCCACACTACTGCAATACACGATCAAGATTGTGGAGACATTGGGTGAAAGAGTCACCAAAGATGGAGAATTCATCCATGAAAACCTCCATGATATCACCCACTAGCTTGTCGAATATTGCTACCATAAATCTTTAGAATGTGGTTGGTGTGTAGCAAAGACCGAAAGGGATCCGCCGATAGGTGAATCTACCAAAGGAGCAAGTGAAAGTGGTCTTTGCTTGGTGTTCTAGAGCAATCAAAATGCAGAATTAGCTGGATACATGTCAATTAACATATACTCAAATACTCTCATGCTAATGAAATGAATGCAAATTGCGTAAATCGTTGAAAAACAATCACAAGAGTAATACTACTACTACAAGAAGTACATGATATTTGATTATCCTTAAACTCCAAACAAGTCATTCAAATCCTTGTGAAGTTTTTGAAACATTTCACCAATTTAGGAGTCATTTTATCAGTTTGGGAGTGATATATAAAAAAGAACGGGTCTAACGGGTTGACCCGCTAACCCACCCAACCCGACCCAAAAAATCACGGGCTATCGGTTTTGGGTCATTCGGGTTAAAAAAACTTAATACTTTTTGGGCGGATTCGGGTCGGGTCAACGGGTCGGGTTGTAATTTGCCAGGTCGAGCGTATAGCCCATATAATAAGCAATTGTAATCATGTTTGGTTAGTCTCTCAAGCATCTGATTAATGAATGAGAGTGTAAATTAAGATTTTTGTGGCATCATTCAAACGAAGATAGTCGATGCAAAATCTGCATCTTCCCATCGTCCATATCGGTGTAAGCTAGTTCTTATCATTGGCCACCACCATCATGCCTCCCTTTTTAGGCACCACATAAGTTGGGCTAACCCACTCACTATCTGAGGTAGGATAAATGATATCGACATATAGAAGCTTGTTCACATTTGCTTTCACCACCCTTTTCATATGAGGATTCAACCGTCGTTGAGGTTGCATTACTAGATGTAAGTCATACTCCATGAGAATCTTGCGAGACTAGAAGGAGGGTGATCCTCTTGATATCACTAATATTTCAAGCTATTGCCTTTTAGTGTCGCCTTAGTAGGTCCAACAGTATCTTCTTCTGCTCGGGTGTGAGATCCACGATAATAATCCCCAGAAGCTTGTCGACCTACCTTAAGAATGCATACTCAAGGTGACTAGGGAGGGGGCTTGAGCTCCAACTCTGGTGTCTTTTCCAAGCAGGTGGTAATCCTTTCAGACTTGGGAATTTGCTCTATTGGTTCTTCCAATGCTTGCTTACCTAGCACAAGGCATTGCTCAAGGGAGTCGTTAGTACCAGCACTCACTATGGCAAGTGCTGATTCAAAATCACAATAGTATCATAATACCAAATTTCATAAGTACGATTCCCCTAGGATGCACAATAGAATGATTCGCTGATTGAATTCTCATCCTAATGGTAGAGGGTTCACCTAGGCCTAGTCCCCAGAACAATTTGTATTGCATGACATTAATGCTAGCCCCTAGGTCTGCCAAGTACTTTTCTATATGCAAAGGTCTAATAGTGCAAGGGATAGTAAAACTTCCTAGGTCTTTGTGTTATGGGACAATCCAAGTACCACATCGGTTATACAAGGGAAGGAACCCTTGTATATTAGTGTCCACCAATCTCATTAGTACGAGGCCTTTTGGGGAGGACACCCAAGAGTAAAACCGTGCGGGCTTGGCCCAAAGCGGACAATATCGTACTAATGGGCTGCCCAGTTATGACAAGTGGTATCAGAGCCGCGGCTGTAAATCAGGCTAGGGTTTTCGATTCAGAAGAATGACGTCGGTGAACATGAAGATCGAAAAGTTCACGGGGAAGAACAGCTTCGATATATGGCAGATCAAGATGCAGGCTTTATTAAAACAGCAAGGGCTGTGGGGGCTGCTGTCTACGAAACAGAAGAAGGCAGCGGTCGATGACGATGAGTGGAATACCCTGGAGGAGAAGGCCCACTCGACCATCATGCTATCGTTGTCTGATGACGTCATCATTGAAGTCGCTGCTGAGAAGACTGCCGCGGGCTTGTGGTTAAAGTTGGAGAGTCTGTACATGACTAAGTCTCTAACCAACAAGATGCATCTCAAGCAACGGCTGTTTAGCTTGAGGATGCAAGAAGGTACGCCTTTTAGGGAACATCTCGAACAGCTTAACTCTATTTTGCTGGATCTGCGTAATATAGATGTTCAAGTTGATGACGAGGATGCTGCCCTAATCCTGCTGGTTTCTTTACCGAGTTCATATGAGAATTTTGTTGATTCTTTTATTGCTGGTAAAGAAAGCGTGTCGTTGGAGGATGTCAGGTCTGCTCTTCATACGAGAGAGATCAGGCATAAGGCATCCGGATCTGGTACAGGTGGTGAGGCATCGGGTTTGGCTGTTACAGGTGGAAAGGGAAAGAAGAAATCTGGTAAAGGGAATTCGAACAAGAATTCCAAGGGTCCCGGTCCACAGCCAGGTGATGCTTGTCACAACTGTAAGGAAGTGGGGCATTGGAAGTACAACTGTCCCAAGAGAAGAGGGCAACAGAAGAAACAAGGTTCAGTTGCCGTGGCAGAAGTGGACAACAGTTCTGAAGACGATCTTGCCTTGGCTGTAGATGAGAAGACACATCGTGAGGATGTGTGGTTTCTGGATACTGCAGCCTCATACCATATGTCTCCGAACAGGGATTGCTTCACAAACTACGAGCAGATAGATGGTGGTAACGTGGTCATGGCAAATGGAGCTGTCTGCAAGGTTGTTGAAATCGGGTCCATAAAGGTTCGGACACATGATGGTTCGTTCTGTACCGTGAATGATGTCAGGCATGTTCCACGAATGACAAAGAACCTGATCTCCTTGAGTCTACTCGACAGCAAGGGTTTCAGTTTCAAAGGAAAAGGTGGAGTTGTATATGTCTGCAAAGGTTCAAGGAAGGTGCTGAAGGGCGTGAAGCGTGGGACCTTGTATGCATTACAAGGGTATGTGTTGTCTGGTTCTGCTGCAGTTGCATCGTCTCAGGTTCATCAGGAAGATATGACCACTCTCTGGCACATGAGACTGGGGCATATGAGTGAACGGGGGATGCAAGTTTTGTCTAAGAGGGATCTTCTTTGCGGGCACAAGATGCAGAATTTGGAATTCTGCGAGCATTGTGTGTTCGGGAAGCTACATCACAGCAAGTTTCCCAAGAAGGGTATCCACCGGACGAAGGGGATACTAGATTACCTCCACTCCGACTGTTGGGGTCCTTCACGAGTTGAATCCATTGGAGGCAGCAGGTATTTTCTGTCTATTATTGATGATTATTCGAGATTTACTTGGATTTTCATGATGAAGCAGAAAAGTGAGGTTTTCACGAAGTTCAAGCAGTGGAAGACATTGGTGGAGAATCAGACCGGTAAGAAGATCAAGAAGCTGCGAACTGACAATGGTCTGGAGTTTTGTAATTCTGAGTTCAACGAATTCTGCAAGGATGAAGGGATTGCTCGGACTGTGAGAGATACACCCCAGCAGAATGGCGTTGCAGAAAGGATGAACCATACATTGTTGGAGAGAGCACGGTGCATGCTCTCTAATGCTGGACTAGAGAGAAGATTTTGGGCAGAAGCAGTGAACATGGCGTGCTTCCTGATCAACCGTGGACCTCACACAGGTATCGAGTTGAAGACTCCTTATGAGGTGTGGTATGGTAAGCCTGCGGATTACTCTTCACTGAAAGTTTTTGGGTGTCCTGTTTATTATCAGGTGGATGAGGGTAAACTGAACCCAAGGGCAAAGAAGGGTGTATTTGTGGGTTACGGAGATGGAGTTAAGGGATTTCGAGTCTGGTCACCTTCTGAGCATCGAGTTATACTTAGTAGAAATGTGATATTTGATGAGAAGTCTATGTTTAACCCCATGTTGAAGGTTACTGTTGTTGAAGGTAGCAGGAATGTTGATAAGCAGGTGGAGCTGCAAACTCTCAATGAGAGTGAGTTTGAGCACCAAGGTGGAGAAGATCAACATGATGAGGATGTCTCTGCAGAGCCAGAAACTTCAGAGTCCAGTGCACGAGCTCAACAGTCTATTGCTTCCGGTAGACCAAAGAGAGCGACTGCAGGAATACCTCCACAGAGGTATGGCTTCGAGGACATGGTGGCGTATTCATTTCAGGTTGCTGAAGAAGTGGATGCAGGAGAGCCATAGTCCTATAGAGAAGCAGTTTCGGGTGGTGAAGCTGATCACTGGCTTGCCGCAATGGGAGATGAGATGGAATCCCATGACAGGAATCAGACTTGGGAGCTAGTCAAACGACCACAGGGAAGGAAGATTGTTACAAACAAGTGGATCTACTAGAAGAAGGAAGGGATCACTTCTAAAGAAGGCATGAAATTTAAAGCTCGGGTGGTTGCACGAGGCTTCTCGCAGAGGGAAGGAGTTGACTACAATGAGATTTTCTCACCAGTGGTCAGACATACTTCGATCAGAGTGCTACTAGCAATAGTGGCACATTATGACTTGGAGCTCGAGCAGCTAGACGTGAAGACAGCTTTCCTACATGGAGAGTTGGAGGAAGAAATTTACATGACTCAGCCATAAGGATTCGAGGTTCCTGGAAAAGAAGACTATGTTTGTAAGCTGAAGAAGTCCTTGTATGGACTTAAGCAATCTCCCGAGGCAGTGGTACAAGAGATTTGACAGTTACATGCTTGAGCTGGGCTATAGCAGAAGTCCATATGATTGTTGTGTGTATCACAACAAGGTGGAGGATGGTTCGATGATCTATCTGGTTCTGTATGTGGATGATATGCTCATAGCTGTGAGGTCAAAGTCTGATATCCAGAAGTTAAAGGGGCTTCTCAATGCTGAGTTTGAGATGAAGGATTTGGGAGCTGCTCAGAAGATCTTGGGTATGGAGATTTACAGGGACAGGTCGAAGAAGAAGCTTTTCTTGTCACAGAAGAGCTACATCCAGAAGATATTGTCGAGGTTTGGCATGTCTTCAGCAAAGCCCTTAAATACTCCTAGTGCTTCAAATGTTCATCTATCCTCAGCTTATGCACCACAGTCAGAGGCTGAGAAGGAGTACATGTCGAGAGTCCCATATGCTAGTGCAGTAGGTAGCTTGATGTACGCTATGGTATGCACTAGACCTGATCTTGCACATGATGTTAGTGTTGTCAGCAGGTTTATGATACAACCTGGGAAGGAGCATTGGCAGGCTGTGAAGAGGATCTTCCGGTACCTTAAGGGTACACCTGATGTGGGGATTAGCTTCGGAAGTGATACAGAGTGCATGGTGTCTGGGTATTCTGACTCGGACTATGCTGGAGATGTTGACACGAGGAGATCGATGACCGGTTATGTATTCACTCTTGGGAGTTCTGTAGTGAGCTGGAAGGCAACTTTGCAGTCGGCGGTGACATTGTCTACTACTGAGGCAGAGTATATGGCGTTGACAGAAGCTGCTAAGGAGGGAATATGGTTGAAGGGACTGGTTGGTGATCTTGGTCTACATCATGATCAGGCAGTGGTGTATTGCGGCAGTTTGAGTGCAATATGCTTGGCCAAGGATCAAGTCCACCATGAGAGGACTAAGCACATCGATGTGAGGTATCATTTCTTGAGGACAGAGAAGAGGATTAAGGTGAAGAAGGTTGGCACCGCGGATAATCCTGCTGATATGTTCACGAAGCCGGTTCCACATGGCAAGTTCCAACACTGCTTGGACTTGCTGAATGTCTTGAGTGGGTGACTCTGCCCTGCGGGGCATTGATGGTGGGAGAGAGATAGATGGAGCAGAGTACATCAAAGATTTCAGAGGAAGAGGATTCAAGTCAAGGTGGAGATTTTTTTATATGACTTGAATCGGACTATCAGCCGCTACGACTGGTAGTCGGGGGTCTCCCACGGTGTATGGGCTCAATGTTATTTGGGTTCGGGTTCTGGGCCTGGTCTGTAACCGTTTCCTTTGCCAGATTGGATTAGGTTTAGACCCACATGGAGAAGTACTATAAATACTTCTCATACTCCTCTGTAATCTGTAATCTCCTTGATATAGTGAAACTGGCTCTCTCTCGCCCGTGGACGTAGCTAACACACATCGTGTTAGTGAACCACGTAAATCGTGTGTCTGTGTTTTCGATTCTTGCTTTCGTATTCTTGCTTTGTCGATTCCGGCTATTTCCCGATCCGTAGCAGCGCGTTTATAACAAGTACCACATCGGTTATACAAGGGAAGGAACCCTTGTATATTAGTGTCCGCCAATCTCATTAGTACGAGGCTTTTTGGGGAGGACACCCAAGAGTAAAACCGTGCGGGCTTGGCCCAAAGCGGACAATATCGTACTAATGGGATGCCTAGTTATGACAAGTGGTATCAGAGCCTGGTTCGGTCCGGGGCGGTGGACGTCAGTTTGGTGGACCCTCATTCGGTGACCTCAGGGTTTGAGATATGCGTTTGGTTTGGTGGATCCAGGAGAGTTCCGCATCTGGGAAGCAGATCAAAGAGAGTTCTGTGTCTGGTAAAGTCCTTGTACCGAGAAGCCCATCGATACAAGGCGTTTGGCGTATCAAGATAATCGCTGAGGTGAGGACACGATGTTCGTGGTCCTTGGCTTGAGGGGAGGATTGTTATGGGACAATCCAAGTACCACATCGGTTATACAAGGGAAGGAACCCTTGTATATTAGTGTCCACCAATCTCATTAGTACGAGGCCTAATGGGCTGCCCAGTTATGACACTTTGCACTTTTCAGACAACTTGTCCTGCAACATGGAAGAACATTCATCATTGAGCATCACCATGGATAGATCCTTGAGCTTTTTATTCCTGGTGGGGATTTCATTCAAGAATTTGGCATATTTGTGAATTAGGCAAGGACCTCCACGAATGGTAAGTTGATGTGCACCTACTTCAACATCGCCATGAATTTGGCGAACTCTGCTTCCAACTGGTCCTTGTGCAACTGGGTAGGAAAAGGGAGTTGAGGGACATACTCCTTGACTCGCTAAAACACAACACCTAACAATGGCCAAGTGTAACCAATAAAAAGGACTGCAGTATAGTGGCACAAGTAATAAATATCGAATCCACGGGTCTCTAGAGTTACTATTACTCAGCTTCAGTTCATTATCTAGCAAACTAGATTAATGATTGATTTACTAAACTACTCTACTAACTACTCTACTAATTACAAGTTGGGAACTCACTTAGGTATGATTCCCCCTAGCTCCTCAATTAGGTCCAAGTTGCAATTACCTTTGGTTAATCTACTGTTGATTAAACTGCGGAAGATCCTAAATTAGCTTGGAATCTCTTAAGCTGACCAAGCCCTCTTAGACAGAATACCCGGCAGGTGACTAGCCTTCACCGGGATAGACTGATAAGGGGAGAGACCACATTTTGAAGAAGGAAGGGGGGTTGAAGAAGCGAGTGGTGTCCAGGCTGAGGATGAAGTTGAGGTGAAAGAGGCTTGCACCGACCCTATAATACAAGTAATATCCCCACCAAACTTCGAGGAACTGCTTAGCAAGGACCCATTTGCAGTGTCTCTTTGCCAAACCAAGGACACATCGACATCGTTCCCTCTTGGTGGACGCAATGGTGGTCAGTCGATACGGTTATATTTGATTTGGGGCAATGAGACAAGAGAAGAAACGAGGAAGAGGTCTCGAGGGTGGAGACTTCAGCTGCATCAAGTGAACGAGCCTTCATCGCCTACCATACCACCTGCTCGTGACTTGAGACTCCACCTCATAGATGAGAACCTCAAATTCAAAGAGGTTCTAGCATGGACCGAAACTTAGGAGCTACCGTCCGGCTCACGACGTGAAAGAAGCGCTTGTTGGGAGGCAACCCAACTAGTCGGTTCGCATTTCTTTCCCTATCTCTCCTCGGTTGATTCAGTTTTGTTCTTTGATTTTAGATTCAATAACTCAACCTTTGTGAGATTTTGTGTGGTGTTTATGTTCCGACTACTCTCTCCTCCTAGAATGCACAGCCTGCTCCGCCCACCATCGTTCACCCTTATTCTGGTAACTTCGTTCTACCCTCCTTATCTTTCCTCCATTGAGGACAATGTGTGTGCTTGGAGCCTAGTCCACTGTCCAAATTTTGATTTGAGGGCTCCAAGCACGTGTTCCTTGCAATTGCAATTGCCTGCTCAGTATGCTTTGAATTGACAGTCTTTATAGTAATATGCAACCTAGGGAGGTAGTGTAGCACTATGGAGGATGATGATGCATTTAAGAAGTCTCATTTCTTCTTCATATTGTGCTGGTTGATTGTGTGAATTAGTGATCTTAGGACCCTTGAATTGTGTGGTATTATGGACTCTCTACCTGTCATGGACTCTCTAAATTGTGCTTTTAAAATAACGTCTCCCGTGCGAAAAGGGTGAAAGTGTGTAAAGGGAGACGGGAATCTGTTCCCAATTTCCACCTACTACCTCCAGCCCGCTTACGTTTCCTTCCCCCGTACTAGGCTCGAGACATATGCTCCCGGCATGGCCGGTAAGAGCTGCTCCTGGCATGGCCGGTAAGAGCCGGGCTCCCACAAAACCTTTTATAGGTGGGTGCCCTGTTTTCTGGAAAAAAACACGTTGGGACCCTTGAAAAAAACAACAAAAAGAAAAAAAAGGGGTTCCAACCATCTTCAAGAAGAAAATAGAGCACCTTAAAAAAAAGTGAGTCCATGATCTCTCTGTTATTGAGAGTCCCTTTGTCCATGATTCATTTTTCTTTTGATCACTATTTGCCATGATGCCGACTCGAGACTAGAGTTCTCGCCGAAGAAGCTAGGAGGTGCCTTGTGCGTTGGTTGACCTCGTAAGCTGCTAAATGATTTAGGAAGTCCGCTACTGACGATGGGGGTTGCGTGTTGCTGTAAAGGTCTGGAGAGTTGCATTGGTTTGAGTCAGGTTTGCTTAGGGACAAGCCAACAATTAAGTGTGGGAGGATTTGATGACTCGATATTTGCACATGTTTTACCTCTACTTCTTGATCGTTTAAGCTTGCATTATCTCTTCTTTGGACTATTTTATGCTATTTTGTGTTCCTTTGTCACATTTCAGGTCCTAGCATGTAAAGTGAAGCATAGGCGCAAGTTTCAAGTCAATCAGAGATCAATTGGCGATTCGGGAGAAGAAACTCGGGCATGACCTGAAGAAGAATGAATTTCTGCCTCATTTATGGACAAAGAATCATGCAATATTGTGATGAAAAGAAAGATGACGAGACTACGAGCGTTTGGGATTAAACGACGACTGATTCGGGATCCGGACGAGGAAAAAACGAAGCATTGAATATAGGAGAACAGGCTCGACAGTAAAAACACGGGCAGACTACCCTAAAAACACGGTCGTGTTTTATCTGGCCCCCGCTAGTGTTTTTACTGCCGAGGGCATGTCGTGAGGGCTGCTGGGGGCAAAACACGGGCGGGCAAAAGTAAAACACGGTCGTGTCCTCGGCCGTGTTTTGCCCAGAATCGGGTTTTTGAGGCAAATTCAAGCCAAAGGAAAGGGGGAGCTGGGTTTTGGTTCCTAAACACCCAAGGGACGAACCCTATGGTTTCTACCACCCAGTGTGTTTTGCTGATGCTAGCCCCGCTGACTGGTCCACTTCCAGTCCCCCGACAGTCTTTCCTTCCGGTAACATCGTTCCCCTTATCTCTCCCTCTGCTCCATTGAGGGCAATGTCGTGCTCAAGTGTGAGGGGGTGCTTTGTATCGATTGGAATCCATATATGTGTGCTTGGAGCCTAGTCCGCTGTCCAAATATCGAGATTTGAGGGCTCCAAGTACTAATGTTTGCATGATCATATTGGCACTGTGATTTGATTGGTGAATCGAATGGTTTTCGGATTATTGCATGACAGCTTGACTTTAACCAGGACAACCTATGATGATGACTGAGACGTGCAGTAGAATTGTGTGGGGGTTCAGTTTTTCAATTGTTTGTTTACCAACTGTGACTTGGATTGATCACTTGCTCTTGACTGTCCTTATGTGTCATACCCCCTAGTCAGCCCTTTGAGCCGTGTACTTCTCTTTCATTCGGTCTACAATGGAAAATCACCCTTTTGCATCTCTTAGAAGGTTGCACAAAGTGGTTTTTGCATGTTCTCTACTGTTTCTGCTAAATATAATGTGAGGGTTGGAGGTAGTTCTTAAAAAAAAGTTGGGCATGTGTTTGAAAAATGTGCATAGGTGGTGGTTCTCTAGAGAAATGGAAAAAAAGAAAAAAATGAATGAAAGCAAAAGAGAGCCACCACCACAAAATCTGAATAGTGCCCATTAAGTAGTGTTTCTTAGCAGCCTGGCTTGGAAATACTAACACTTATGTGACCTCCATGCTCTTGTGCTCTAAAGAATTTGAGTAATGCAGAATGGCAGAAAGAAAGTAAGTGGTTTGAGTGACTGTGATTGTGTTGGGTTTGGAATTGTGGAACCTTGTGCTATGAATACTTCCACCACCTAAAAGGCATTTTCCCCATGTCCAAGACCCTAGCAAGTCATCTGAACCTGTGTCTAAGACCTCCAGATTAGTTAGTGGTGACACCCCATATGTGAACTCTAACATTTAGAGGTTGCCTTCATGTTGAAGAGACGTTAAGGATTGAGAGAATAAACATGCGCATTTTTCGGATCAAATTGTCCTGACCCCACTGGACGAGAGTGAGAGATTCATTTTCTCATATTCTCAATACTCTCTTACCCCGGTGCGGACCTAGATGGCTCGGTCTTGATTCTGATGTCTTGAGTTTGATGCATGCGATGACTGTCTTGGTCAAGTGGTTGAGTCAAGTCTATGTTGGTTGGTGAACAGAAAGGATTCCTCTTCCTTTACCCGATTTTGCTGCACTCGAATGTCCTCTGTGGTGGTTGTCTAGGTTGCTGTTGAGTTGTCCATTTCGCAAAGATCAAAAGCCAGTACGATTCACGTGTTCTGTGCCTATATGAATTGTCCCCAATGTTGGTATGATTGAAATATGTCGAGCTTACCTTGTATCTGACTTGGTTTGCTTGGGGACAAGCAAACGGTTAAGTGTGGGGGAATTTGATGACTTGATATATACTTAACTTTCACCCACCGTATTTTAGTAACTATGCTTACCACCTCCTACTAAAACCACAATAAGTCATCTTAGTAGACCTTGTAGAAGAAAAAATCGTGTTAGTGGACCATGTCCACTTAAGTGTATAGCCACCCCAGGCCCGCCCAACAAAGCGAAGTTTAAAATTAACTAACTACCGTAAACATTTATCCATTTTCACCTGACCATGGTAAGCGTTATTGACAACAGCTGTAATAATAATTGAGAAAGGATTTCTGAAAAATTCCTCTTTCAGCAGCAGCACAAGAGACAAATCAACCTCCTCTACTTCCATTCTTTCTTTCGGTCTACAATGGAAAATCACCCTTTTGCATCTCTTAGAAGGTTCCATAGAGTGGTTTTTGCATGTTCTCTGCTGTTTCTGCTAAATATAATGTGAGGGTTGGAGGTAGTTCTTAAAAAAAATTTGGGCATGTGTTTGAAAAATGTGCATAGGTGGTGGTTCTCTCAAGAAATGAGAAAAAAAAGGAAAAAATGAATGAAAGCCAAAGAGAGCTACCACCACAAAATCTGAATAGTGCCCATTAAGTAGTGTTTCTTAGCAGTCTGGCTTGGAAATACTAACATTTATGTGACCTCCTTCGCTCCTATGCTCTAAAGAATTTGAGTAATGCAGAATGGCAGGAAGAAAGTAAGTGGTTTGAGTGACGGTGATTGTGTTGCGTTTGGAATTGTGGAACCTTATGCTATGAATACTTCCACCACCTAAAAGGCCTTTTCCCCATGTCAAAGACCCTAGCCAGTCATCTGAACTTGTGTCTAAGACCTCCAGATTAGTTGGTGGTGACACCCCATATGTGAACTCTAACATTTAGAGGCTGCCTTCATGTTGAAGAGACATTAGGGATTGAGAGAATAAGCATGCGCATTTTTCACATCAAATTGTTCTGACCCCACTGGTTGAGAGTGAGCGATTCATTTTCTCATATTCTCTCTACTCTCTTACCCCGGTTAGGACCTAGATGGCTCGGTCTTGATTATGA